TCCTCTGACTTCCCAATTGTCTCCTCTCCCTGGAGCCACTCTTCTCCTGTGACCCTGAGCCCTCCCCAAGGACCTTCCACATGACTCTGCACTAGCAAGTACCTCAAGGCCTGAGGCCAGAGGGAGGGAGCAGTTCAACCTTGACAGGAGAGAGTTGTACCCCCAAAGGAAGTAACTGCTTCAGTGCCCACTGTGTGTGACTTTCCCATTCTCTGAGAGCTGAGACAAAATGCTCTCTTCACTATAGATGGTGCAATCTGGACTTTGTTTTAAATGACCCCCTGGCGTACTGGCCATGCTGCCCTCAGCATTCCTGATCAGACACGGGGGAAGCTCTCACCTCATTGCTGGACCCTGCACTGCACTCCTAGGGTGCCATAATACAATCCACTCTTACCTTTCCCAAGCACTCAGTGTCCTGTACATTTGACTAAAAAGTTCTTTCTATAATAAATAAATAAATAAATAATAAATAAATAAAAATCAAAGGTTGTATTATATGCCTGGAGCTTTGGTCCCTACATGTTTTACAAACCAGAAGTTTACATTCAAATGGTAATTTGGTTCATTTGTTTTGGGCTGTGGTTCTGAGCTGAAACCAGAACCACAGTGCATTTATTCTGTAGGGGGACAATATTTCCCTGGGGCTTCACTACAGTCCTAGAGGGTAACAGGAGGATGATCTCCACTTATGTAGAGGTGGCAGATAAAAGCACAGAAAGCTCAGGAACCACACCCAAGGTCACATCGGGAGTGGGGGGTAGGGTATTCAAAGATTCTAATCATAGAAGGATGACTTCCTCCTACCCCTATTGACCCAGTTCTCACTAACCCATTGTGTCAACACTTCCATTGACCCAGTTCAGGACACATTGACATAGGTCCTCAGGGACTCAGGGTATAACTTGAAGGGAAGGAACCATAGTAGACTAATATAGTCTAATATAGCCACATTAGACTAATATAGTAGTAGTACCTCACCACACTGTCACCTAGCTATACAGGTGGGCAAGTTCTGCAAAAGACGGGGGTATATTGCTCTGCTCTTTACAAAAAAAAAAATCAGTTCTATTGAGTGGTGACCTTTTTTGTGTCATAATCCTGTTCCTCTTTACCCTTGAGTTATTTTTTAAGAAAGAGAAGACACTGTCATTATGGAACCATGCTGGTCCTCTTCTCTCAAGCACCAGTGTTTTAGAAACCTCTTGTGTGTGAAAAATGGGGTCTTAGTGAAGGTTGGTCAAGTAATATTTTGGCTGGATCTCCTAGGGAACTTCCAAGTGCCCTTCCTGTAATCATTTGTTTTGCAGCCATAAGTGGCATCATTAGCAATCAGCCAAGTGCTGAACTAATCTGTGCCTTGGGTCAGAACTAGAGTATCTGCACAGATGCAGTGAGCCATCTCTGAGAAAGCGAGGGGGAGGACAAAGTCTCTGTCCCTAAGTACATTGTCACAAATTCTAAGTTTGGGCTAACCATTTCCCTCTCTGAACCTATCCCTGTCCCCGTAACAGTTAAGTGTGAATTTGGTTCCCTATAAGAGAAAATCAATTTAGCAATTTAACCAAGTGGTTCATTTTTCTTGTCATAAAAACCACCTCTACCCACGGCCCCTGGTAACTTCTTGCTCAGACAGATCAGGGTGCAGCTTTGATCTTCACTGTTCTAAGATGGCGGCTAATTTTTGGAGACAAGCACACCTGCATTCCCGGTAAGAGGAGAAAGGACAAAGGAACCAAGATGGCCAGCAAAGTCTGTCCATTTTCCTTACACAAAGAGTCTCCTTCCCTACCTCTCTACTCAGTAAGTTTCCTATTATATCTCATGTCCATTTCCAGTTGAGAGAAAGTTTGAGGGACTCAGAATTTTCACCTAGGAATGTTGCTTCCTTAGAACAAGTTGGGATATATTTGGTAAAGAAAGGAGCTCTAAAATAGCTAATTAGTAGTGTCCCTCATATCATCCCTTAGACCAGAATATGTTTGGTAAAATTAGCATATTAAGTCATCGATAAAGTCATTGAAACATTAGGAGTCATTAATATAATAAAGGAGGGATGCCAGAGAAATGTTATTTTCCTGAAACTCAAGGAACCAAGAATAGCAGAGGTGCCCTGGAATCTGTGGGGGTTGTTAAAAGAAAAAAGTTAGCAATCAAGGACTCAAGCTTTCTACACTTTACTTCTTTGTTTAGGTCGGCCTTGCTTCTGGGATGTGATTAAGCTTCTTATAGTGCAGAATTTCTAAATGTTGGCACCCAGCTACTTCAGGCTGGTTATTCTTGCATCTGAGGGTCATTCTGAGCACTGTAGGGTGCTTATCCTGGCCTCCACCCAATGACTGCCAGTAATGCTGCCCTCTGCCTCATGGAATGACAAGAACTGTCTCCAGTCATTGCCAAATTGCCCCTGGTTAAGAATCATGGCTCTAGTCTATTCCATGCCACCGAAAACTGCTGACAGTATCTTCTTCCTGGTTTTGAAATAAGAAATGTAGACTTGACCTGCTTCCCCAGCAAGGGACCCAGGCCAACTAGGGCAGTGGAAGTGGCAGGAGGGCCCCTCCAAAAGGCTTATCCTGCACAGCAGCTGAACTAGGCCTCTACCTGTGAGGTGCCTACCTCATCTCCTGCATCCAAACAGCACTCCTGGCAGTCAGAGAAGTTGGGCACCCAAGCACCAGAGAAGGCTGCCAGGTTTAGTTAAAGAAAATATAGGATGTACTGTTACCTTCGGGTTTCAAGTAACCAGCAAATAGGTTTTGAGTATAAGCTTGTCTCATGCAACCCTCAATAGGTGTGATGTGACCACATTTTCCATCTGAATGATTCTGGAACCTGCTTTTGCTGCCAGCTTTCATGGTAATGCATGAAACCCAGAGAACACTTCCTGTTCCCTCCACCAAACATGCCAGTCCCCAAGAACTCTGACGGGAAGGTTTCGGGCATGGTTTGTGCCCCTGCCCTGTCCTTGAACCCGAGGGGATGCCAAGCAAAGTCCCCAGGCACTCAGGCAGCAATGCCTGTTTCTGTATTTTGAGATCTCAATTTCATGGTGGCCCTTTCCTTTTCATGAACTAAGCAAACCTTTGTGCGTGGTACCCCTGAATTTCTGTGTCTGGGGAACGTAGAGTATGTTTCAGGTGCAATGGCAGGGTCATTAGCAGGCAACACTCAGGTCACCAGAAATATATGATTTCCCCCAAGCCCCTACCCCATTCCTCATGCCCCACTCCGCACCCCCATCCCCAAACCCCTGTCATTCCCCAGGTACAAAACCAGAAGTTTCTTTCTCAAATCAAGGCATTCAAGTTCCACCTGCATAACTCAGAAGTGTGCTCTCAGGAGAGGCTCCCAGATGGTTTCACTGCCTGGGTCACTGCAGGACAGACATGCCTGAAGCGCTGTTCATGCTCCAGAGTGGTATTGTAGATTCATGTTGGCTGTTAACGTCCAGATAGATCCTATACTGAAAAAGGCCTATTTCACTTGGTTTAAACCAGGGCTCTTAAAAATCCTTAGAGAGCTTTTCTTTTTTTTTTTTCACCTTTCTTGACTATTATCAGATACATGTGGGCTTTTAATCCCAATGCAGACAACCTCTGGAATAGCAGACAATAGACAAATATTTATTAGGCATACATATTATGCTGTGCCAAAGCCATGGAATATAAGTTTGTTTTTCTCGTTGTGGCTTTAAATCAGTTGTAAACATTTAATTAATATAATTATTTGTTTAGTGTCTGACTTGCCCAATAAAGGTCCCCTCTTTATTTACCAATCAATGGGCAGCCCTTAACACTCCCTGGTCCATTGGAGATACCCAGTATATTTTAGTTGAATGAGTGGAGAAAAATAAAGTCTTTGTACTTAGAAGAGTTCCTCCAAATATAATGGTTCTTGTGGAATTGCAGAGAAGAATCATGGGAGAAAGAAAAACATCCTTTTATTAAAAACATTTATTAATATTTTGTGGGCTGGAGCGATAGCACAGCGGTAGGGCGTTCGCCTTACAAGCGGCCAACATGGCCGACCCGAGTTCGATTCCTCCGCCCCTCTCGGAGAGCCCGGCAAGCTACCGAGAGTATCTCGCCCGCACGGCAGAGCCTGGCAAGCTCCCCGTGATGTATTCGATATGCCAGACACAGTAACAACAAAGTCTCCAATGGAGACGTTACTGGGCCCGCTCGAGCAATATTTTGTAGTTTGCAATACTATTATTGATAGTTTCCCATATAATTAATAATTCCAACCCCACAACCACCACCAGGGTACCCATCTCCCTTCCCCAAGGTCCCCCTCCCCAGACCACCCCTACCAACAACAACAACTCAAGTGTGTGAATCAATACTTCCGTTATGTTGCTTTTTGCTCTTTGCTGCTACCTTACTCTGTATCTGTAAGTCATACATATGAGCAAAATCATTCTATATCGATCACTTTTTCTATATCTGTCACTTTATGACTGCGGGAAGGAATGTTTTAAATTGCTGGTATCAGTATCTTCACTTCGAACATGACCAAAAAAAAGAAAAAACAATGGGCGAGCCAAAAAGTGCGATGGCCATGTGCAGCCCATCCTCTGCACCAGCTGTGCCTGGTGTGTGCCCAAGGATAAGGCTATCAAAAAGTTTGTCATTAGAAACGTTGTGGAGGCCGCAGCAGTGAGGAACATTTCTAAAGCCAGCGTTTTCGATGCTTATGTGCTTCCCAAGTTGTATGTGAAGCTACACTACTGTGTGAGTTGTGCCATTCATGACAAGGTGGTAAGGAACCATTCTCACAAAGCACGCAATGACTGAATATCCCCACTGAGGTTCAGACCTGCGGATGCTGTCCCAAGACCTCCACCAAAACCCATGTAAAGCAACTACCAACCTTAAGGATAGAAGACAAACTCCTTTCGAGGAAAATCAAGTGGAAATTATACCTTGAAATAACTAAATAAATAAATTGCTGGCGTGTTCTACCTCCGGAAGTGATGTCAAAAAATTGGGATATAAGTGGACCTGGCGTGGGTCGTGCGAGGAGCTGCGAATAAAGGAAGTCGTTTTCAGTTCCTGTACGACCTGGAGCTGCCAATCGTGGAGAAGATAAGAACCATTGCCCAGACCGTCTACGGGGCCAGGGATATCGAAATCTCTCCTGAGGCGCAGACCAAAATCGATCGCTACACGCAGCAGGGCTTTGGCAATTTGCCCATCTGCATGGCAAAGACCCACCTGTCTCTGTCGCACCAGCCCGACAAGAAGGGCGTGCCCAGGGATTTCATCCTGCCCATCAGCGACGTTCGTGCCAGCACTGGGGCCGGGTTCATCTACCCGTTGGTGGGAACGATGAGCACCATGCCCGGGCAACCCACCCGGCCCTGCTTCTATGACATCGATCTGGACCCAGACACGGAGCAGATCACAGGCTTGTTCTGAAGCATCACGGTGCCCACGGACCACTTCCGGCTCCCAAAATCACAAACTCACGCCTTGCCTTTTTACTACATTTGGAGGAGAAGATGAATTTGAAATACACTGGTTACGAAACCCAGGGAAAAGGTGAAATGACCCAAGATTGATTCTTCTTTCAAGAGAATACTGTTTGCAACAGAGTATTTCTCTACTTCAGAAATGGACCTCCACCAAGTTTGAAAGAAATGAATTTTCTTCCCACTGCTTATAGGTTGGAATGTTTATTTTATGGGAACAAGGGATTAAAAGAGTGTGAACTCAAAAAAAAATTGGGATAGTGTTTTAGAGACAAAGTTTATGGTTGAGACAATATACCTAGCTCTTCAGGAAACAGATGCATGCCCACATGCACAAACATGACACATTTTGGACTAGACACCTTTGCCAAAAATCTCTATTTTTATGTCTTAATACCATTAAATCAAGACTGAGTCTGTACCCCTATGTGGCCACAGGAGATAAACCACTTAAGATCTGGAGTAATAGTACATTGGGTAGTGTGCTTGCCTTCCACATGGAAAAACTGGGTGTGATTCCAGCATCCCATATGGTCCCCCAAGCCCACAAGGAGTGATTCCTGAGCATAGATACAGAAGTAAGTCCTAAGTACAACTGGGTGTGCACCCCCTCTCCAAAAACAAACCAAAACAAAGAAACTACTTACCAAAGGGCACATAAACTTTTCTTTTACTGGGACAGGAAAGAAAAATTATTTAAAACAAAAGCTCTTAGAATGTGTTGGCCAAAGGAGAAGGAGGTGATGTATACATTTCCAGAAAGCGTTTCATGCCCCTTTATGGACTATAGTCTGTGCTCCAACCACAGTTTAGCTCTAACTTCTCTCTTCCTCCACAAGCACCTTACAAACTCCTCTCAGGGGTGCCTGAAACCATACTTAGAGTGCAAATTCAGTGCTTAAGCAACTGAAACCAAGATCTAGTAATGACCTGTTCCACAACCACGTTTTCAGTTTCCTCATGTCTTACCTCTTGTCACTGCGACTCAGTTTTATTTGGGGAAGGCCATAGCTAATGGTGCTCAGGGTCTATTTCTGGCTTCTCCCTAACAATGCAGTTTGGGGGGTCAAACCCAGATCTTCCACATGCTATGCATGTACTTAGCCCTTTGAGATTTCTCCTCAGTTCAACTGCTTCTAATACACACACACACACACACACACACACACACACACACACACACACACAGTTTTCACTTTGGGCCCTGGAGAGATTAGCTCAAAGTGCCGGAATGCCTGCCTTGCAATGTGTGATACCCTGAGTTCAATTTCTGGTACACACAGTCCCCCAAGCATCACATTATCAGAGAAATCCCTTCCAAATAAACCAAAATGAAGAAAATTTCCACTTGGGTAGGGTTTTTGGAAAAACTGACTTTTAAAAATAAAATTCAGGGGCTGAAGCGATAGTACAGTGGGTAGGACATTTGCCTTGCACACGGCTGGCCCAGGTTCAATTCCCAGCATCCCATATGGTCCTCCAAGCAATTCCAGGAGTAATTCCTGAGTGCCAGAGCCAGGAGTAACCCCTGAGCATTGCTGGTTGTGACCCAAAATGCATATATATATATATGTATATATATTTTAAAAATTAAAAATTAAATTCAGCATCCCAATATTTTGAACATTGGCTTAAGTCTAACAATAACAATAGCTCTTATAAAAAATTCTTGGGAGAGACCAATACAGTATGATCTTTCTCATATGTGGGATTGAATGCCAAAGACAATGAAAACAAAATACATGAGAACTGTGTTTCAGCAGGAAACATACCACTTAAGGGGGCTGGGGAATTGAATAACGAAAGAGGCAATGGATATGATGGGCTAAAGTGTTCAACAAGGAGGAAAAGGTAAAGGTGGTAAAGCTTTCCATATGAAACCTTAGCAGCAACAGTACTGTAAACTCCAGTGCAAAAGCTTAAAAACAAAAAAACAAAAATTTCATAGAAGCAGACCGGTTGGTAGGAGGCAAAGGGATAGCAGTGGGCATTGCAGGAAGTAAACATTGGTGAAGAGATCAGTGTTGAAATATTGTATGCCTGAAACCAAAAAAATTCACAATGATCAATAATAATAATAATAAAAGCAAAATGGCATAAAACAAATTTCTGAATATACAGATATTCGATCACTGATATATCAGGAGTTTGGTTAATATATATTAATTACCTAATAATCTTAAAAGTATTTAGTGTTAGGTGTGTTTTTACACATACACGGTTGCTGTGTGAAATATCTTTGTTGGCTAATGGGTGTATGCTATGATGCAAGTATCCACTTATCAATTTACTGAATTGTAAAGTACCAACTTGACTGATGAGTTCCATATCCTCAAGAGTCAGCTACCTTAGAAAGGTATCCTACCTTAGGAAAGGCTAATCTTGTTAGCTATCTATACCATCCCATTCTTACACAATTTCCAGGAAAAACTAGTAAAAAACAAGTGGATTTGAATTAATTCTTAAAAGGACAGAAATTCGCAAAATCCAATGATATAAAATGTTAGCAGCAACTTAAGAAAAGACTACATTACCCTACTTAACAGCCTCTGAACCGGGAGTTTGGAAAAGATTTTTCAGTTGTTCGTGTTTCATCCCATTACGCTGACCTTATGCAGTTAACACAAATAATCCCACTTGCTTTTGTGTGACTCCTTCCATTTCACTTGCATTTTACTCTCTCAAACTTCAGAATTTATCAAGAACTGTCATTGACCCAATTGAGTTGCTTTGGTGTGTCCCCTTGGACTCTGTGCTGACATCCAGCACAGATACATAGTGTCACTATGACATTGAGTGTCCTGCTCCCAGGAGAGACAGCCTCCCAGCTCACTGAGGGGAAAGGGCATTTTGTTTAGGAATATGAAAGGTCCTCTTGCCGCTCACCCGTCTGCAGTACTGCTGGCTAACCTGGAAGCAAGCCCAACCTCAGACACCCACTTCCACACTCTTCCTTCCTGGCTGAATTTTGGAGAAGATCAATCTCCTGAGAATCCATTCACCACTCTTGGAAAATGTTCACTTTGATTTTTTCAAGGTAGTTTTGAATAAGGAGTTTCATAGGGCACCAGAATTGCTAAAATGGGGTAGGGACTGGGAGGGTTCGTCTATGTTTCTAGTTTAAAGCTAATTAATTTTTGTTCTTTGCTACAGCCTAATATCTACTTGCTTTGGGTTTTATTTGCTCATCCTTTTCTAGTTCTTAACATGAGAACCTGGTAACCAATTTGCAAACCTTTTGTAAAAATATCAGCATTTTATGCTATAGAATTTCCTCTAACTACTGCTTTACCTGAATCTCATAAGCTGTAAAATGTATTTTGTTTGTTTGTTTGTTTTTGTTCTGTTTGGGGGGCCATATCTGGCAGTGAACCTACTCCTGGCTCTGTGTCTAGGTATCACTCTTGACAGGTCTTGGGGGATCAGAGAGGGTTCCAGGATCAAACCCAGGTCGACTGCATGCAAGACAAGTACCCTACCTGCTGTACTATTACTCCAGTCCCAAGATGAAAAATGCTTTGTCCTTTTTCCTTTCTGTTAAAATTAAATTTCCCTTGAGGATTTCTTTCAGAGCTCTTGAAAATTTAGAAGAGTTTTGCTTGTTTTCCAGATTATCTAGTGTGCTTTGCCCTGATACCTTTCAGTTTTCACTATTTAATTCTGTAACAGTCACAGAATGGGTTTTGTATTCTATTTGTTAGGGTTTGATTTGTGGAATATCATGATAAATAGTCCAAGTATATTTGAAAATAATGCATATTTTTCTTTTATGTGCAGTATTCCATAGAGATTGGTTGATAGTGACTTCTACATTTTCTTTATTCTTTCTGATTTTATGCTCACTTTTGTACTAATAACAGAGCGAAAAGTGTAGAAGCCTCCTGGTATAATGCTTATTTCTCCTTTCATTTCTGTTTCTGATTCTAGTGTAATTGATGCTGTGGTGTTTGGGTCATGCAACTTGAAAATCTGTGTGTGTGTGTGTGGGGGGGGGGGGGGTTGGACCATACCTGATGGTGCTTAAGGCTTACTGCTAGCTTCTGTGCCCAGAGATCACTCCTGGTGGGACACAGGGGACCATACGGGATGCTGGGAATTGAACCTAGATTGGCTATGTGCAAAGCAAGAGCCTTACTTGCTGTATTATCACTCCAGCCTGAAGATCCACTGGGAATAACTAACCTCTTTACATTATACAGTGTTACTCTTTATCTCAGATCAGAGGGCTTGTTTTCTTACAATATGGCTTGCAAGATGTCATCTGTTTTAGCTGTCCACATATTCAGCACAATAGTTTAAGACTTCTGTTATACTGAGGAGAGGGTTGGGTGTCCCTGCATAGGGCATCCAGCCTTTCTTGCCTTAGTGGTCTTGCTTCTCCCAGCCATAGCCTCCAGGACACTTTCTCACCAATATTTCCTGGGTGATCCTTCTGAGGTTGGTGGAGAAGAACCTGTGTGAATGGTATGAATGTGACCACTGAATTCTACCAATTAATTTCTCAGCCATCTTAGTTGACTCCTTCTTACACCTGGTGTGTGGCACCTCAGCTGTAGGTAAGGAAACCATCACAGCCCCTCTCTGTGTGCTCTCATCTGTCCTCCTTGGATTTCCGTCAGTAGTTTAGTTGGTAAACCTGTGACTTCATTAAAGTCATGGAAGCTCATAGAGGAACTAACAAAAAAGATATGACTCTGAGAGTTTGGGTTTTGTTGTAAGAGAAGAATGAAGCTCTTTGCAGTTTTGTATGGGCTGGAGCGATAGCACAGCGGCAGGGCGCTTGCCTTGCACGCAGCCAACATGGCCGACCCGAGTTCGATTCCTCCGCCCCTCTCGGAGAGCCCAGCAAGCTACCGAGAGTATCTCGCCCACACGGCAGAGCCTGGCAAGCCACCCGTGATGTATTCGATATGCCAAACACAGTAACAACAAAATCTCCAATGGAGACGTTACTGGGCCCGCTCGAGCAAATCGATGAACAACGGGAGGGCCTCGAGCAGTTTTGTATATGTAAACTGGAAGTGTGGATTGTTATTTTATTTACCACCCCTTTCCTTTCTAAAAAAAAAAGAAGTTTAAAATAGTAATTCTGAGCACATCTTCCTAGAACCAAACCTAATATAAAAATCTATTTTTTTCACTTTTAATACTGGAGCCAAGCTTTCTGAAAGGAGGAATGGAGAAGAGATAAAATGGTTAGGAATATTGTTCCTTGCTTGGATTTTTTTTTCTTTGATAGAAG